ACCTTTAGCTGGAAACACTTATAGAATCATAAAATCACTTTTAGGTAAAACCCTTGAAGAACACTGAGTCCAACTGTTAACCCAGCACTGCCAAGGCCACCACTGACCCCTGTCCCCAAGTGCCACATCTTTGTAATCCTCCAGGGATGGGGACTCCACCACTTTCAGTGCTAAACCATGGTGTGACCATAGAATCAGGATGGTTTGGGTTGGGAGGGACCCTAAAGCTCAGGGACACCTTCCACAGACCAGGCTGCTCCAAATCCCAATCCAGCCTGGCTTGGACACTTCCAGATCTGCACAGAGCTAAAACCAGCTTCTGCTGGCAAACAGCTTATGAACAGGAGGCCACCAGGGACAACAGCTTTCCAAGGCTCCTGACCACCAAGCCCAGCGGCTTCCTGGTTCATTTTATTCTCTTTCTGCAGCAAATTGGTTAAAATAAGTGGACAAGTCACTTGTTTCAGATGTTGCAATGAAGTAGAGCCATCTCTGCCACGGTCTGTGCAAAGTGAGATGAATGATGGACAAACTTCAGAAAGCCATTTGCAGGGTGTCATTTTTCATCCTGCCTGGGCAGGATGTAATGAAAACCCGACAAGTTATTGATGCTTTGGTTACCTGTCTGCCTTCAAGAAATCGCACAGGTGCTTTATGTAAAAGAATAAAAAAATACCAAGAGTCAACACAATTAATGGGAAGCAATGATGGGAAGCATCCTTTGAGGTTTTCTTTTCTGCTGAAGTGTCACGAGGCTGTGTGTCCAAAAGACACTGCTGGCAATTCATCTCTCAAGCAATCAGGATAAAAATATCACCATGGTTTGTACCCTGGCAGCAGCCTGGGAAAGATGTGCTGTCTGTCCTCTTGCCATTTTCTTTCTGGCTGTTTAAAGTAATTAAGCACTAATTAGGAAGTTTGAGGCAGCAAATATAAAACTGGAATTTATACAACTTTTTGTACTCAAGGCATGCTGGAAGAATGGGAGAGAAGCTTTGCTTTACCATTTTTCCTCCTCAAAATGATGCAGAATCAACATGGATACGTTAAAATTCCTGTTATAAAATAATAACTGGGGGCCTGTAACTGAACAACCTATGTGAGGAGGGCCTGAGGAAGTGAACTCTGGAGAAAACCATGGCTGAACTCTTTCAGGGAGACAAGACTTACTGGGCAGCTTTGAAGTGCAGAGGACAGAAAAAAAACTCAGGCGAGCAGCCAGTTTGGGTGACAAATGACAGCAGCTGTCTGGGGTGCTGCTCTCTGTGCTGGTGTTCACAGGGGTCCCGGGATGAGGGAGGAGATGAGAATCTTGGCTCCATGTTTCAGAAGGCTGATTTGTTATTTTATGATATGTATTATATTATAATAAAATACTATAATAACTATATAAAAAGTAATAACTATATAAATACTATAATAACTATATAAAAATACTATAATAACTATACTAAAAGAAGAAAGGATTTCATCTGAAGGTTTGAAAGGAATGGAATGATAATAAAATCTTGTGATTAACCAGAGAGTCTGAGCCAGCTGACTGTGATTGGCCATTCATTACAAACAACCACATGAGACCAATCCCAGATGCACCTGGTGCATTCCACAGCAGCAGATAACCATTGTTTACATTTTGTTCCTGAGGCCTCTCAGCTTCTCAGGAGGAAAAATCCGAAAAGAAAAAACGAAAGGATTTTTCATAAAATACATCTGTGACAGTTCTCTGTCCCCAGTCTGAGTTATCCAGGCACTCCCTACACTCCAAACACTTCCATGGCTGAGCTCACTGGGAAAATGGCACCATGTGCTGCTTCCTGTGCTTTTGTTGGCTCTCAGCTCCAAAAAAGAACAATGTTCCTGCTGTAAGCACTGTGGCTGTGCAAGCTGACACGTCCCAGAGCTTGTCAGCCCAGCCAGACAATGGGAGCATTTCCATGAGGACCCTGAGTGTGCCTGGGGTATCTGGGTCAGATCCTGCTCTGACAAAGTGCACCAAGACGGTCCCTCTGCACAGAAACTTGCTTAATTAAGATAACAGATGTTGCTACTACACAACTCACACAGAATGGTTGTTTAATTGGACACTTTCATATTCTTTGCTACCAGCACAGAACATAATTTGTTTTTTTATGCATTTCTTTCCTTACAATTAAGCTGCATAAACAATGCAGGCACTGTACATTCCTGGAAAAGAAACAGCTCTAATGATGTAGGAGCTTCACATGAAGAAGAATGAGAGAAGAGCAATTTTTTTGGGGGCTTTAAAGTACAATTATTTTTCTGTCCCAGCCTGAGCATGTGTCTGGTGGCAGGGTAAATATGACTTCCAACAGCTCTAGGAGAACATTAGGAGTTTGGACTGTTGTGCACATATTTTAAATAAAAGTTTTCTTGCTTTTCCTGCACTCTTTTTGCTCTTGGGGAGCCAAGGAGAAGGGGAAAAGTGGGAAGCTGTGGGGGAACAAGAGAAATGTGAATCTGCTCTTGAGCCACACAATGCTACAGCTTCACCTCTGGGAAATGTCTCACTGTGGGAGGAATAATAAATGGAATTATTGCCATTATGGCATGGAAAATAAAAACCCCTTTGCCTAGGCCCAAAACAAGACCTGAGAGAAGAGGGAAGACTGGCAGGGGAAGCAATGCAGACCCTATGCATGTGTATCTGTGCTGCTCCTATATAAAATTTACCTTCTGGAGCCAGGCCCCCAACATCATTTTGGCTCAGTTAGGCCTCCAAGGCAGGATTTCCATTATTATGGAGATGAAGTGCCTTTAATGACTGCAATAATATAATTGTACCCCAGGGCAGAATCCCTAATAACGCAATTGCACAGCTCTCAAGCACCAGTAAGAGATGCCCCGAGGCCACGGCATTCATTAGAGGTGCAGCACACACTACCTCAGCCTCCAGAGAACAAAGTGAAACCTAAACCCATAAAACTAATTTTTTTTTCTTTTTTTCCAGTGTGGTAGTCTCTGCTCTGGGGCAAACATTGAAGAACACTCTTTGTTTTGCCTCCTGGACAGCAGGAGCCTCCAGAGCAGGAGTCTCAGCAGCAAAACCCACACAGAGTGTCTCCAGCAAGGCACTGAACACCACACAGCAGCTGAAAAGCCACAGAAAACCCAGGAGAAGCTGTGAAGGGATTGCCATGGCAGCCAGCAGGCTGAGCATCAGCACCCAGAGCTGCTGCTGCTTTTAACTCCACCTGCAATTGGAAGGATCACCTATATTGATTAACCTGCACGTGATCAACCTGCAGCTGGGGAAGGATCCAGATGTTCAGGTGTTACTCTGGTTTTTAAAGATTTTTTAAGCTTTCTGATGTTGATATTCTTGTAGTGAACTTTCTCACACACTTTCTGTAAGTAACTCGTGGTTTTGCATTCCTTTATGGAGAAGGAGAAATTTGATGGACTGTTGGTTTGTGCAGTGTCATTGGAGAGGTGGCACCGTCACCCTCCAATCCACTGTCACCCTAGGAAATCTATAAATGTTAGAGCCAGAAAATAAACTTCCCTTTTCTTCACCTTGAGATACACAGCACTGTGTATTTTGTTTTTTCGTGTTCTATAGTAACACCCAGGTGCCTCTCTGGCACTCACAGGACCCTTTAATGTCACTTTTAGCAGAGATTTCATTGAATTTTCTTCTCCCACACCTGTCTAAAAGTTCTGTGCCCTGTCCTAGATGAAGAGATGGCAGCAGCAGCTTTCCCTGGCACCTTGCCTCCTGGATTTCAACAGATTCTTTTCAAAACAGCCAAGAAAGTTCTTGTTTGAAATCCACACACAACTGGGGGTGTAGGGAGATGCTGGGGCTGTACTCCAGGCA